CGGGAAACACTCGGATTGGACTGGGAAATACCAGGATTGGATCGGGAAACACCGGGATTGGACCGGGAAACATCAGATTGGACTGGGAAACAGGATTGGACTGGGAAGCACCGGATTGGATCGGGAAACACCAGGACTCACGGGGATCAGAATCGGGACCCAGCAGAAGCACAGCTGGGACAACTGGGATCATCTGGGAACATGCTGGAAGCAACTGGGATCATTACTGGGGGCAACTGGAACCATGCTGGGGCACTTGGCAGTGACTATGACTGACTAGGAGAAAGGCTGGAACTGAGGAGAGGGCCTGGCTCTGCCAGGCATGATGCCCACTGAGATCCACCTGCACTCAGACTCGGAGATCCGGGCAGGATCCCAAAACCCTCCTTCCCTGCCCTCCCCAAAAATCCCTCTGCTCCCTCCTTTGGGGCTCACAGTGTCACTGAACTCAGGAACCAAACCCCTTAACACCAACACAACCTTAAGAACAGGCACTGTTTATTCTGGCATCCAACTTTTTACTACTTGTACATGTCAGAAAACAAAGAAATTCGTGCTCATTGCTCACAAGTTACCCAATTCTTATTAATTAGTATTCTATCCTCTATTGGTCAGTGATTCTCTCGCTTCTTAGGCTAATTAGTCACTTTTGAGTCAGTGGCTTCTTGGGGGCTTGGATGGTCTCTGTGGTCTCTTGTTGCTGTGGGAAAGATGTCCATTAGTGTCCTTTCTATGAACTTGGAGTCTTCCTTCCATAGATGTTCTTGGCTTAGCTCATTATCTTGTTTGCAGTTATGAAGTTCCTTATCTTGGTCAACTTCTGCTGACTCCTCTGCACTGCTCCAGGGTGAGCTGGCACAGGGGGGAGAATGATATCCTTGGGTGCTGAGACCCCTGGCAACAACTGCCCCTGTGAGACTTACTCAAGACAGGCTTAGATATGTTCCTTTCACCATAGATGTTCTTGGCTTAGCTCATTATCTTGTTTGCAGTTATGAAGTTCCTTATCTTGGTCAACTTCTGCTGACTCCTCTGCACTGCTCCAGGGTGAGCTGGCACAGGGGGGAGAATGATATCCTTGGGTGCTGAGACCCCTGGCAACAACTGCCCCTGTGAGACTTACTCAAGACAGGCTTAGATATGTTCCTTTCACCTCACCAAACTACTCTACTCCCCCAGGATCTGTACCTCAGAGGGATTTCAGGGCAGGACAGAGCCCTCCTGGGCACAGCAGCCACTACTGAGCCCACAACTCCACCTGCCTGACATGGGAATGGGCAAATTTCTAACCTGTTCCCTCTCTCCTCATGCTGGGACAGAATTTGGGATGGGAACTGGAGCTTCCTGGGCCTCAGAGTAATTCTAGAGCTAAAGCAGTTTGAGACATCAGCTCTGCTCAGATAATACATGCCAGCACTCATCCCTGGCCCAGGCACTGTGGATTCCACTGGCAGAGACATGCCAGGAGCTGGGGTGCTCCAAAACTCACCTGTCACACCACCCTGAGGGCTCTCAGCAGTCCTGGGGCTCAGCTCAGGGCTGGATGGAACATCCTCTGTTGTCCCAGAGACCTGCAAGCAGCAGAGAACATTCCAGGTTTAGGGAAGCCCTCCTGGGCACTTGCAGCCACCACTGAGCCCACAAGTGCACCTCCCTGACGTGGGAATGGGGCAAAACCCAAACCATGCCCTCCCTCCTCATGCTGGGACAGAATTGGGATGGGAACTTGCTGGGCCTCAGAGTAATTCTAGAGCTAAAGCAGTGAGAGACATCAGCTCTGCTCAGATAATACATGCCAGCACTCATCCCTGGCCCAGGCACTGCAGAGTCTACTGGCAGAGACCTGCCAGGAGCTGGGGGACCCCAAAACTCACCTCTCACACCCTCTTTGGGGCTCTCAGCAATCCTGGGGCTCAGCTCAGGGCTG